TCGATTGCGGCGCCGGGTTCGGCCATCGCCACGGCTCAGCCGAGCAGCCGGTCGGACTGCACCACGGCCGCGCCGGCCGCGCGCATCGCCTCGAGCGCCGCCGCCTGCGAGCCGTCCAGGTCGATGGCCCGGCAGGCGTCGGCGACCAGCACCGCGGTGAAGCCGGCGGCGCGCGCGTCCTCCACCGACCAGCGCACGCAGAAGTCGGTCGCCAGGCCGGCGAAGAACAGCCGCGTGAAGCCACGCTCGCGCAGGTAGCCGGCCAGCCCGGTGGAGGTGCGGCGGTCGTTCTCGGCGAAGGCGGAGTAGGAGTCGATCGCCCGGCGAAACCCCTTGCGCAGGACCAGCTCCGCCCGGTCGAGGTCGAAGTCGGGGTGGAAGGCCGCGCCGGAGGTGCCCTGGACGCAGTGGTCGGGCCAGAGCGTCTGGGGGCCGTAGGGCGCCTCGATCGTCTCGAAGGGCGCCCGCCCGGCGTGGCTGGAGGCGAAGGAGCTATGCCCGGCCGGATGCCAGTCCTGGGTNNTGGGCGAAGCGGGCGCACAGGCGGTTGATCACCGGCACGGTGGCGTCGCCGTCGGGCACCGCCAGGGCGCCGCCCGGCATGAAGTCGTTCTGCAGGTCGACCACCACCAGGCAGTCGTTCTCGCCGGGCGGGGACAGAGGGGGCGTATCGCTCATCGCCTGCGACCTTTCTTCCCGAGACTCTCGCGCGTGCGCTTCACGCCTTGGCGCGAAGATAGGCCACCGCGGCCCGCAGTGTCAGGAGCTTGGGATAATCGATTTCGGGAATCTCGATGCCGAGCCGCTTGTGCAGCGCGATCATCAGGTTGAGGTGGTCCATCGAGTCGATGTCCATCTCCTCGCGCAGATCGCCGTCGGGGTCGATCTCGGCGATGTCGATCTCGGGCGCGATGCGGCCCAGCTCCTCGACGACGACGGCGCGGATCTCCTCTTCGTTCAGGCTCATAGGGCGTCGGGCTCCTGCAGCAGGCTGTCGATGCGGCGAAGGAACAGGCCGCCG